ACAAGGAATTTTTATTATTCAAAAAACTTTGACCTTAAATATCTCAAAACTAGTAAAATTGCACTTGGATCCCTTTTATTCTAAGCCACTCAATTACTAATACCGTAATTACCTCAAACTTTTCGATGTCCATTAGAATAGTTTTACCTTCTCAGAACTACATACAACTGACCTATGATTTCTAAGTGGGAGAAATCTTTTCTTGTTCTTTTTTCTTAGGTAGTTCGTAAAATTTTAGAAAAACCGACTTACTTTTAGTGGGGCGATCATTGAGTGAGGTGGCTTGCCTGAAATTATCGTCTCCTTGCATTTTTTTCGTTAAGTGTATATACACTTATATAGTTTGAGTTTTGAAATCTAATACTATATTAGATTATATTATATAGTTCTAAAGTACCTTTAATGGTAATTAAATTCAGTGTTTAATACCAGTATAGTATTAACTTCAGTGAATTAAGCTACAGTTGTCAAGGTTTACTGTAAATGTAGAAGTCCAGGACGTGCATTCTCCTTAAAAGAATTCCGATTAGCCGTTGTTACAGGTCTTATTGGTGCTAATACAGATACCCCAAAAAAGGGACCAAAACATGCAGTAAATACTTTCAAAAAATATGTACCTATTGAAGTTAGATACGATAGAGTGGCTCATTTGCCTCTTCATGGAACATCAAGAAGATGTGGGTTATGCAGTACAACCGCAAAGGTTCATCGGACTCGCTGGTTTTGTCAAACATGCGATATTGGTCTGTGTTTATCTGACAATAAAAATTGTTTCCAAAAATTCCATACCATTGAATAAGTGACTTTTGTGTCCCAGTGGTTTCACCCCGGTGAAACCATACTTTTTTTGTAATATTTGTTACTATTAAATTTAAATTTTCAGAAAAACTGTTGATTTAATTAATTAAGTTTTCGAAATTTCTTTTATTTTAGAAAAAATGAGAAAAAAACAATGTGGGCCGCAAAGGGTTAAACCCAATATTATTACGGAAGAAAAAAGAAAACAGAACAATAAGAAAGGATATAGAAAATCAGAAAGAAAATCCTGCATCATCGCAAAATAAACCGATGTTATTTTCCGATCTTACGAAGGGAGGAGTTATGTAGTCACTTCCATCGGACTGTTTACGCAATTTTGTTGACAACGCTTTGCTCTAGAATATGGAATATTTCTAACTTCTAGACTATAAGTACATTTCCATACAAAGGGTATAAAAACCCTTGTAACAAGAAATCTTAGTCTAGCAGTAGACGGTGAGACTCTCAACTGCACAGACATGTATAGATTCACAGTCTAAACCAACTACTTCTTGCTTGTACGCTGAGGTCCGTGCGACTAAAGGCAAACTGTCTCCGGAGGCGTGTCAGTCAGGAGCTGACAGCCGTGCCGGACAAAACTGTCGCCAAAATACACAATCTCGACAAAGATTGTTACTTTGACCGGACAATAACAGCGCTCGTTATTAACTTCTCTGTCATTGGCCTCTCGGCGGAGGAGCGCTGCGAATTCTCAATTACTAAACGTATAAAAGAGCAGCGCACATTCCGATCGGGACTTCAGTCGTCAGACACTTCGAGCCCTACTATACCTTGTTGGTTAGTGGTGCTTCCTAGTAAAACTGTTGTTTCATTATTAATCCAAATCGTCCTTACATCGAACTTTAACGATTACACCGACTTCGAAGATCAGCGAGTATTTCCAATCCAGACGTCGAAGAAATCTTAAGGCATCATTCGTCGTCTGCTATTATACCACAGTGCACGAAAAGCCGAGTATCAGCTGTAGAATCGCTCCCTGTCAGAAACATACGCTTTTTGAAATAGAAAAACGGTAGTTTTAAAACTATTACAAATTGCGTCGAACTGACAGCGACGATTTATCGAACAACAACGGTGAATACGAGGAGAAGTCTCGACGGAGACTTATATTCGATTTCACCGCTCCGAGTCAAGCCACGACGACGCTTCGACACTTTGAACCTTATGCATTTTTCAGTAATTAGTAAACACTGGAAAAACTGATAGTGCGAAAGGTGGTGTACAAAGCGACGGGCTATTGTAGAGCCGATACAACGGGCATTTTTTGTGCCTCTTTCTAGGAGACAGAACGCGGCGATTCCTGATAAGAAGGAAACTGACATCTCTGCAATTTTGAGGCATATACCACGCAACAGAAATCTAACACATATTGTCATTGTAAGAAATATATTATCATTGTAAGAAAGCTTGAACTGTTAGAGAGTTATGTTTGCCAGTGTCACCTCGCTTGTTGCAGAGGCTCGATAGAGCTTCTTACACGAATAAGCCGGTATCTGTACCAACTCCTATACGAAGATGGATCATCGCGCCGCGCGACATGGAGCCCAACTTAGTAAAGAAACCCACACCCCAGACTTAGCCTCGGTATTAGCTATGCTAATACAAGCCGTCACTGCACTTACTCTGGTACAACCCAAGCCTGAAGCCCAGGAAAAGAAGGTCGAGTTACTAAAATGGACCCCTGCACCGCCTCAGTACTACGGAGACTATCTAGCAAATCCACAACAATTCGCCAACGACATAGTGGACCATATGAACAGTCTGAACATTGATACAAAATATTAGATCGCCTACATACTTGAAAAATCCTTGATAGGAGAGGCGGCCCAATGGGCACAGAACCAGTTTACGACTGGTCTAAACTACGAGACGTTCCTGAATATACTGATTGATCACTTCGGTAATACTACTAAGAGATCGTTGCTGATGTCCAAATTATACGGACAATATCAGAAATTTCAATCAGTAGCCGAATTTATCTCAGACAAGATGGCACTTTTCCGGAGACTGTTACCACACATCGACGAGGAGAGGTGCAGGGTGATCACAAATTTAATCCGCCCTGAAATCAGGAAACACTTGCGAAATAATATGCCAAGAACAGAAGAAGACCTGAGGCGAATTTGTGAAGAATTACAAGCGGATGAAAGCTATTCACGCCGTCCTGAACCGCCGAAAACCGCAAAACCACCAAGCCAAAACCGAAACCAAGTCAGAAACCAAGAATGTCAGAGACAATATATGATTGGCGAAACAGAAATCCTACTCAAAAGCCAACACCGAAACCTCGACAACACAACCAGGGAAACGACGAGGGGGGCACCCACTACGCCTCTCTCCTGATGTGGTGCCCCAACTAAACCCTATCAACGCCATGAAGGTTTCAAATTTGCCGCGAATCCATGCGTCCATCCGTTCACAGAAGATCCAAGTGCTGATCGATACCGGCGCATCGATTAGCTACATCAACCCTGACTTGGTTAAGGCGGCAGATGTCCACAAACGACGGAGGAAGGTGCAGTTAGCTTGTAAACATACCACGACCAATAGCCAAGGTACAGTGGATGTTACAATCGATTTCGGAAGCTTTGAAACGACCACAAGAGCTGCAATAGTTAAGGATCTCAATCAAGACCTTATCCTGGGGATGTCATGGCTCCAAAAAGAGGAAGTGTTGATAGACATACACAGAAAATGTCTTCACGTGGGGAACGAATCCCGCAAAGTCCTCTATTGGAAGGCAAACTCAACAAAACATTGCAACGTAAGGACGTTAGAAGACGATCAAGCCCCGGCATTCGCAATGCCGATCGTAAGAGAACTCTTAGAAGAGTATGGAGACGTCTTCGACGAGAAGCTGAAACAGCCAACTACCAGAGATACGGTAGTTGCCCAGTGGTGATCGTTAAGAAGAAGGATGACACACCTCGATTTTGTGTTGATTATCGTAAAATCAACAAGATAACAATTTTGACGAGGACTCGCCAGGAAAACCAGTGGCATAACAACATTAGGAAAGCTGAAGAACAACATGGAAACGTATGAAAAATGCTGAAAGCCAAAAGAAGAGGGAAATAAAAGATGCCACAAATCATCGACAACGAGGGAACACACTTTGAAACCCAAGGAAAAGTGGACGCAATAGCAAGAAGATTAGCAGCTACACATAGACAAAACCAGGACATGTCGGATGCAAGAACAAGACAAGAAGTGGACGACGAATATAACAGAATTAAAAGAAGAAACGAATTCCTAGTAGAAGAAGAAGACTACACCAGCCCATACGAAGTAAGAAAAATCATCAAGAGACTCAAAGGAAGCAGAGCACCAGGACAAGAAGGAATCCACAACATCACCCTCAAGGAACTCCCAAAGAAGATTATAGTACAACTATACTACATCTACAAATTTTGCTTGAAAAAAGAACACTTTCCAAGTAACTGGAAACACGCGAAGATAATACCCCTCCTAAAACCCAGGAAAGATGGAAGAAGACAGGAAAATTACAGGCCTATTTCTCTCCTTGCCCTTGAAAAGCCAACATTTCGGCTAGCCCTACAGTTAGGTGGCATAACCACAACTACTAAAAACGGAAGGTACCTCATTACCCAGCGTACCTTTAGTAAATCTAAGATCATAAGCCTCCTCACGTAAGTCATACGATGAGGAGGGGTGGAGGAACGCCTGGAGGTCAGATAGGTACCACTTCAGCTAGTGAAGTGAGACCGGTTTGATCTTCGAACATGTGGATCCCACCCTTATGGTGGTATACACATGTTCCTAGGGGTAGGGTTGATCACCTCGTGTGTTAATGTGTGTGCGTGTATGTAGGTGTGTGTATGTGTGTGAATTGCACTGCTCGGGGTTTTACGACGGTGTTACTGCGTTAGGACTCTTTATTGTCGCATTTATTTCGTATTTCTTTTTATTGTTAGTTTTTGTTCTTCCGCTTTGTAAGAGATATTTCGATCGTGAATTTATTGATTGTTCAATAGTGAGTTATTTAGTTTTTTGTAGTTAAATATACTGTTAAACTTAAATATGAAGCCAGGTGGAATTAAATCGGGAGTAGGGACTTTTTTAGTAAAAGTAACGATATCAAATCAGTTACATGTTCCTCGTGTAAAAAGGAATTTAAGTACCATGGAAATACCACTAATATGAAGAAACATCTTCAGAGAATGCATACTCTGCAGTGGAGTGAAAATATTGCAGCGCCGTTTTCGTCTCAAACAGATGATAAAGAGACTCAAGTACCTAAAGTAATAGTCGGTAAAGATGAAATTTCACTTGCCTCTTCACAAGAACCATGTTATTCAAAGAGAAATGCACAAAATGAAAATCCAGTACCCGAAAGAAAGAAGTCAAAACAATTAAAACTATTCGGTGTCCGAAATACAATGACTGAAGCAAAAAAACGGGAGATAGATAATAAATTATTAAAAATGATCACTAATGACTATCAACTTCTATCTATAGTGGAAAATATAGAATTTAAAGAATATACTAAAGCATTAAATAGTGAGTATGTATTTCCAAATAGAAAAGTTATGACGAAAATATTATTCCAAAACAATATTCATACTCTGTTTTGAAACTGAAGCAAATGTTACTTACAGTAAAGTATGTATCAATAACGACAGACATTTGAACCTCTGATAGTTGTAAAGCTTATATATCGGTTACAATTCATTTTATTTACAATGAGAAAACATGTTCTTTTAATATTGTAACCAGAGAAATAGTAGGATCTCATACAGGAGAAAATATAGGACATGTTTTAAACAAAGTGTTAGAGAAATGGCACTTATTAGAAAAGTTTTGACTGTTGTTTCTGATAACGGCGCTAATATCAAAAAAGCAATTAATGAGTTTGTAAAAAAATATCATCATCCATGCGTAGCACATACTCTAAATCTAAGTGTAACAGATTCTAAACAGTCAAATGAAATTTTTAAAAAATGCAGATCTCTAGTGAGTCACTTTAAACATAGCGTTGTGGCAAAAGAAAAATTAAAAAATACACAAATTCAAATGAATGCTCCTATTTTAAAAGTAAAACAAGATGTGGTAACAAGGTGGAATTCTTGTCTCATTATGGTTGAAAGACTGTTAAAAATTAAAGATTCTCGCAAGTGCACCAGAAGGTTTGGATGCTTCTGAATGGTTAATTCTTGAAGATATACTAAATATACTAAAATATACAAATATACTAAAAGGAACTGAAAAATTAACTACAGTTCTTTCTGTGTAGAAATGTGTGTATAATAAAGTGTTTGTGATTGTAAAGCAATTTTTAAAAATTTTAAATATAGGAATAAGTTTTATGTAAAAATATGACAGACTGTGATAAGTTTTATCGACATTTTAGAAAATCATTGATGATCCAACCTCATTAAGTTTCTCCCTGATGAAGGACATAACCATGTCCGCAAGCTCGGAATAAAAATTTAAAAGAGTACACGTATCATTTTTATTGCTGCAAACCCAATATTGAAAATTTACTTCTGACTGCAGCCCCAATAAACAAAGTTTATTGGGGCTGCAGTCAGAAGTTTGGCCGGGATGTTACAGAAACACTCTTTTGACTTTTGGTCTAGCTTTCGGAATTGTTTAATTCCTTTATCAAGACACTGTAATTAGAAAAATGTGTAAATATTTACAATATATCACAAAATGTCAGTGTACTTACTAGTCGTTGAGATTATTTGTACGAAGCTATGACACTCAACATTAATAACAAACATATACACTAAAACTTATACAATAATTAATACAACAATATATTCCGTTGCAATTTTCTGAGAACCAAAATTTTCATAATAATGAGGTCCGACAACTGACATCGACTTTGACACATAACACATCAGAGCTACCACAATCTAAAATAACGTATGGTTGCCTACCCTATATTCCAGTCCTAACCCCTAAGATAATGAACATTTTCAAAAATGTTAATGGCTTAAAAATTGCAACTAAAAATGTGAAAACGGTATCGAAGTTGTACACAAAGACAAAGGATCCTTTCACAATACAGGAATCATCGAATGTTGTTTATTCTATACCGTGTGCTAATTGCAAAAACGTGTACATTGGTGAAACATCTCGTAATTTTCACAGTAGGGTAATCTCACATCGCAGCGACATAAAAACCAAAAAAATTAACGCATGCGCGTTGACAGAACATGCATTAAGTTTAAAACATGAATTTAATTTCGAGGATTCCTGTATTCTGGCAAGGGAAAATAACCATTCTAAACGTGTGTTCCTGGAAATGTGTTTAATAAAGTCCAGTGCGTCTTGTATACATAAGAAGTCCGATATAGACAAATTGAGTAACATTTATTGTTATTTACTGACTAAACATCAAAAATGACACAAAGACTTACTGGTACATATACACACCATAATACACCTGCATGCTAAACAGGTTGCATACCATCAACACAGGTTTAATACATTACCTTCTGTTAATAACATATGAAGAACTTCTAATGAATTTTTAATCAGACTATTTTTATTTTTGTTTTTTTTTATTCTCTATGGGTTAGTTAAAACACACCAAGAATATGTAGAAAACAAACTTTTTAGAACTTTTATTGTTTTTAACTAAATTTTAAAATGTATTGTTGTATTAATTATTGTATAAGTTTTAGTGTATATGTTTGTTATTAATGTTGAGTGTCATAGCTTCGTACAAATAATCTCAACGACTAGTAAGTACACTGACATTTTGTGATATATTGTAAATATTTACACATTTTTCTAATTACAGTGTCTTGATAAAGGAATTAAACAATTCCGAAAGCTAGACCAAAAGTCAAAAGAGTGTTTCTGTAACATCCCGGCCAAACTTCTGACTGCAGCCCCAATAAACTTTGTTGTTTGTTTAAATTGACAGTCACGAATATCCAGTATTCATTTTATATATATATATATATATATATATATATATATATATATATATATATATATATATATATAGATCCCGAATATTTCGAAAAATATTGCCAAGAAAACAGGAACGCAATAGAGATATCCCTAGAAAATATGGAAAATATCCCTCCTACAGTAAATGTGCCATTTTCATGGAATATTAAAACAACAAAATTATTACTGTCCTGTTACAAAGAAAAAAAGGAACTTTTTCGCAATCCGAAAAGTGTGGGAGCAAATAGTAAACATTTTTCAATCCCATGGATACAATATATCTAATGATATATTGGATAAAAAATTTAGAAATATGAAAGCTCATTTCAAAACTGTAAAAGATAATGCCAAAAAATCAAAAACAGGACAAGGTACTGTTGGTTAAGAGTATTATGAAGACATGGAGGCCATATTTGTAGATGATAAAACAATCAACACCGATGAAATTATATCATCTATGAGTATGGCCATGCCAAAAGAAATTAAAGAGTTGGGAGAACTTTTAGATGCTCCCAATGAAACAGTAACAAATTTAGAGCCACAACCAAGTACTAGTGGGTGTGAGGTAAAAGTTGAAACACCTCTCAAAAGAAGAATGGAGGGACAATCATTGTCCAAATTCCGCCGGACAATGGAGGAGGTGGAACTAAGAAAGGTTGTGGCTCTAGAAAGAGTAGCTAGTGCACTAGAGGTCCACAATGAAGTCCAAAAAGAACGAAATAATTTATTTAAAAAATATTTAGACTCTAAGGGAATTTTAGATTAGTTTGTAAATATTTTAGTATTATTAAAATGTATATAGTGATTATCTAGATTAGGGATTAGGTTATAAATATTCATAGTTTTTGTATTATTTAAATGTATATACTGATTATCTAGATTAAGGATTAGATTATAAATATTCGTAGTTTTTTTTTTGATATTTATATGTATATAGTTATCTAGACATTAAAACAAATATGAAAACAGCTATACTTCATTTATTTTCCAAGAAACAAGTTTTTTATTGATACACAAATCTTATGAAAAATGGTACCTATTGATTACTATTTATAATTAATACAATAAAATAATATTCAATGTTAATTATTTTTACAATTTTTTTGTTCTGTTTCAACAACTTTACACATATTATTATTCCTTCATATAATATAGCATAATCGGTATTGTATGCATCCAGAACATTGCCTTCTGATATTACGAAATTGTGTAAAATACAAATAGTAAGCACAAGGAAACCATTTGAATATTTTCTGTATCAAGAAATGTTAACCTTTCAATTGATTATATATAATATAAATATAATATTATATATATATATATATAATATATATATATATATAATATAATATATATTATATATATATATATATATATATATTATATAATATATATATATATATATATATATATATATATAGTGCGTTAAGTTTTGGATTAGGTATAACACTCTATAAATGGCAATACTGCGCGTCGTAGACTTGCCACTACATATCTGCTTCGTTTGACTCGTCGTTGCTCGTCGCCCGTCGGCAAATTTGTCATATTGTCATTATACCGTGGTTGTGTTAAAGGTATAACAGCGTAGAGTTTTAATTTATTTTTGTAAACATGTCTGTTTATATGGCCGCGGAAAAAGCTCAAATAATAAAATGGTTTTATAGTGGCAATTCTGCGCAACAGTGTGTAGATTTATTTTCTGTGTTTTTTGAGGGAAGACCAATTCCTTGTGTACAGTCAATTTATAATATTGTTAAAATTTTGAGAGTTGTTATTGCCTCAAAAAATTGCAGAAAATGTCACGCTCAAGAAGTGTTACCAGAAAAAGTTGAGGAAAGAGAATACCGCGATACACAAATTTGTGTAACAATCGAGGTAGATTCAACACGTTCAAGTAGAAGCGTTGCCAGAGAGTTAGATGTTAGCAATGTTACTGTAACGAAAGTATGGAAAAAGCACGGTTACAAGAATTTTAAATATTCGAAAACGCAGCAGCTTTATCCAGACGATTACTTTCGAAGAATGGAGTTTTGTGAAACTCTAATACCGAAGGATAATAGTGAACCAAATTTTATTAAAAACATTTTATTCACTGATGAATCTTCTGTTTCGTTAGTAGGGAGACACAATCCTTCCATTAAGAGGTATTGGGCTCGGGAAAACCAGCACAGAAGTGTTGTTTACCGAACTCAACTGTTCGCAGAAGTTTTTATGACAGATTGAGGTATTGTTCAGCCGTAGAAGGTCAACTATTTGAACCATTTCTGTAGGTCATAATGAATTATTTTTTATTTTATTAGGAATAATATTTTAATTTTCAATAAGAGTATATTTTTTATTTTATCTTCTTAAAGAAATACGCTTTTATTTTTAATTCAACCACAAAAAATTTTCACATTAACAAAAATCGATAATAATGCACCGATTAGGTCAGTGCATTTTTATCGAATTTCCTACTATTAAAATAGGCTATAATACGTAATGAAACATGAGATCGGACGACAGAGAAGTACATCCCAAACGTTGTTGTGAGTTACTAAACTAAATAAAACCACTACATTCTAAATTCACCACGGCTTTCGCAACTTGGGGGATAATGGCCGCGTTCACTAGAAATAATCGGTTTACGCTTCAACTGAACAACAGCGGTTCATCGCTTTAACCC